AAAAAAAATAGCAAAAGTCAAGAATTAGAAAAAAAAAAAAAACTCAGCTAATATAGAAAACTAATACAAAGAAATTTAAGAAGAAAAAAGTTATATCTAGAAAAAAAATAAATGATTTAAAAAATTAGAAAAACAAAAAAAAGCAATAGATGATATACAAGAGAAAAAAGAGACAAAATCACAAAAGACAAGTTAGATATCAAAAAGATAACAAATTTAAACCCTAATACAAGTAAAGGGTGTGCTATTTATTATGTAAATTTAAACCCTAATACAAGTAAAGGGTGTGCTATTTATTATGTAATATTTTTTACTTAGTAGCCACTCCTATCTATGTATAGTGTGATTACTCTCTAGCTTGATTCTGATTAGTCTGTTTAATTAATTATTAAAAAATTTTTTAATTTTTTAAAAATTAATTAATTTTTGATCTACAGGTCTGATTTAGATAATTTAACTGTCAAAATATTTGTCTTGATAAGACAGTTCTAATGAATTCAAAATTGTTAAAATCTAATTACAAGAGCCTAAAATCGTTAAGATTATTTGTACAAGTTTATATATAATAAAATTAGTTTTATTATATATAAAATAGTACAAAAACCTTAATGATCTCAGGATCTTGTAATTAGATTTTTGAGATTTTAGATTCATTAAAATCACTTATTAAAACAAACATTTTAATAGTTAAATTATATAAATCAGACTAGTAAATCAAAAGTTATTATTATTATTTTTTGCTTTATTTTGACAAATCACGCTAGTATCTTTATTTAATCAAGCACTATTTGTAAAAATACAAAACATTAAAACTACAGATCTGACATCTTGTGATTACCTTATATAATCTAACTAATTACTTTTATATACCTACAGATGACCATACCACACTAGATAAATATGATCAAGTAAGATATTACTCTACCAAGAGCTTGTCCGATTACTGCTTTACAATAGAATATTACCAATCTGATGATATCTTCTTGTAAAAAAGTGAAAAAAAAATTTATAAAAGAAATACTGAAGTATAGAGGAAAAAATAAAAAAAAACAAATAAGAAATAAAAAAAAATAGAAAAAATGAGAAAAACTAAACTAAATATAAAATTTTTTATGTACACCAGATAGTAACAATTATAAGCCTATATTAGGCTCTTTAAAAATTATATACTATTATCTAAACTATTCTCTACACTAATTTATATATATAGTATATCTAAACTTTAAACCTAAAAAAAAAAAAAAAGCTTTTTCGATATTAGCACTATAAAAGATTAAAAAGTTATACCAATAAGCTTAGAGTATTGTTTGTCCAGATTGCCACATTTGAGGTACATATTTATAAGTCTACTACTCTATATATATCTATATGTTTGTTGTAACAGGTAAAAAAAGTAAACAAAGTCATCTAATTTGGTAAATAAACAATATATTGATCTTTTAGAGAGGATAAACTAAATCACCTACTTTTTACAAAATTTTTTCCAAAAAAACAGTAGAGAGCCAATAAAAGTATATGAAGTTTTTCTTGTAAGTTTTATAGTTGTATAGTCTACTTTTCTGTTTATACTTAATATTCTTGACCAAAAATTAATAGGTCTCAACTTTGTTTTCAGAATAACCCTTCTGGTTTAAATACTAAACATGTGAGGGAGTTTATCAGAAGAGAAACTTGACCCAAAGCACAAACTACCTATTATTCTTATATGTTTGCTTCTCAGTATATCACATATTGGTAAGCTTCATTAATAACAAGTTTGTTTATACAAAATTAAAAATATTGTTGTGTTTACTTTGTTGTTTTTATAATGCTAAAGGCAGTCGCACTTATTACATAATATTATTTTATTAGAGAGCTACCCCCTCCTCCACGTCAGATTTATTAGCCAATCAAAATCAATATAGTATATATATATATTATATACTACGTAAGATCTCTCTGACCTCCTTCCTCCCTTGATATTACATAATAAGTGCTACTCCCCTAACTATAGTTTGGTAAAATTGTTGTTGACTAGAAGATCATCAGAAAATTTGTAATTAAAAATTATTTAATATTAAAGATTTATTATAATATATATAATTTATATAGGTGTGGTGACTTAGTGAAGTGATTAAGTTGTCATACCCTCAAGCAGCATGTTAAATAGATAGGGGTTCAAAACCTACTAACAACGAATTTCGAATATTCTATCAGTATAACGGCTACTGTCTTTCGATGATCGGTTGGAACAGGATTTCTGTAACCTTGGTAGCACCAACAAGATTGAGAGATCATAGGGCTTTATATAATGTATAAGTTACACAAAAAGTTTCAGATCGTTATAAACCCAAGGAACTGGAAAGATAGACATCTGCTTGGCAAGCCCTAAGTAGAGAAGTAGTACAGATCTTCAACAGTATAGCGTAAAGGATTATTACTAGAAGAACTGGTAAAACTGAACGAGACCAAAGTGTTAGGCAAGGCACTCCACCAACCAGGCCACTGGGAGAGTAACCAGAAGAAAAAGACCTAATCGTGAGGACCAAAAACAAGTCACAGCCCTTCCGGGCTATCTGGATTGATAGTTTGGAATAGTTGGGGATACCGATAATAGTCTATAAAGCACGTACTGGGGTTTGAGTAAACTCTACAAGGGCAGAAGTAGGTTTGGGTAGCAGAGTTCAGCCAAACTGTGATTAAATCCAGATACGAAAAGCTGGAGGAAAAACTGTAGACAATGACCTTGACCTGATGCCACCCACACTCTCAGAATAGACAAACTGAGCCACAAGTAATGGGCCACGGCCCTGCGTTCCAAACTGAAGTGCAAGCTAGGTATGGTATAAAGTGGGAATACTGCGAGCTCTGCCAGGTTTACCTCAAAGATAAAGTAGTTCTAGATCAGTTATGTATAATAGTTGCATCAAGAAGAACTAGTTTCTGGAAGACTGGAGAAATGGTGCCAATTATGGGAAGGTCTCAGAGTATATAGGCGCAGAGGGTTTAAAATGGGTAATCCCCTAGTCAGGTTTCAGGTATGGCAAATAGTGTAGAATCTAGTAATAGGCAGACTACTTAAATAGACGCTCAAAAAGCGCAGGTATGGCTAAATATACTTTCTAAATATGTATAATGACGTCCTTATATAATAAAGCACAATATGACCAAGAGGTCACCTTAATACCAAATATATATATATATATATATATATAATTTATATATTATATATTTTGTATATTTGATTATATATTATATATTAGGGTATTATTTTATGGTGATTTATTGCTATGGCGACCCTGTGATTAATTAATAAAAATCAATTACATAAATCATATATTCAATCAAGCACATGATTCACGTGATTAATTTTTATTATTTGATTAGGGAGGTATCATTAATCACCTGATTTTTTAGGAGGTGGGGCAAGGACCCTAAAAAATTTCGAAAAGATTAAAAAACAATAAATTACAATTTTTAGTAAATTTTGCTCTATAAAACAATATTACAACTTTTTTATACATTATAAGTTATACAAAAATTTGATTGGCCAGCTATTTTAATATGCCAATCATATTTGTGTATTTGGTATAACTATATCTACTGAAACATCTGAAAAGTTCTGTTGTAGACTATGAATAAACATCGAAATATTTTGAATTTTAATCAGCAAAAATAATAACAAAATTAGGCAATTTAATACGATAAAAAAAGCATTTTATGATATTACAATAAAAAACATTTTTTGCTATTGCTCAAAACATTTTTTACTATTTTTAAAAACAATTTTCTAGGGTCTCTGGTGGGGTCAGCCTAAAGTTAGGTTATATATATATAGTATATAATTGTCAGATTTACTAAAACACACCTATAGTGTTAAACATCATATTACACAAATCTATTAGAATAGCCAATCAAAATTTAAAATTAGATGTAACATAAAATTTTGCTTTTTTGTTTATTTTTTTAAAAAATTGTAAATATCTCAAAATTTCGCTTAAAAAATCACTTTTGGAGCTCTAATAAAAAAATTTTCTTGCTAAATTTTGTATATATTAATATCCAAATAAAATTTCAGGCCTTAATCTAACCCTAAAGTAGTATGGTAGACAAACCCAATTTTGGGTGATCGTCATTGTGGCTTAGCCAATTTAATAAAAAAATTTTTTTGATTTTTTATACAGGTTAAAGTACTTTTTATTCTTGCGGTTTCTCGAAACCTACCAAATTAACTCACTCTAAAAAAAAAGAGAGTAAAAAGTCTTCGAATAACCTATATACTGTTAAAATTAATCCCAAATAATCCCAATATTTAAAAAGTTTTACTAGTAGCAAATTTTATAGGAAATGGACAGCAATTTAGCTCAAGATTCGACCAAGAAGTGCGTTGTGAAGATCTGCAAGCAAGTTCTAGCCTTAAAATAGAAAAAAATAATTGACAATGTGTTAATTAAGGCAGAAGCTAACGGAACTTTGGCTTCGTATTACAAAGATTATAAGGATGAGTATATGTGCTTGAACTGTTATAACGCGATCGTAGTAAATGGGGCAAGCGCATACGTAGAACATGTAGCTGAATAGACAAGAGGATTAAAAAGGCATCATAATATTAATCTTTCTATATCTGGGTCTATTTCATTACTACCTAATATTATTATTGAGAAAGAAGTTATAGGCAACGATCTACCTATTGTTACGTTTTTTCAGCTTAAGTTAATTGCCGAAGATAAAAATGATCAATTGAGTTTCTTCTTTAACAAAATTGAAGAAATGGCTTGTTTGGAGAAAAAAACGAAGCTAAGCGAAGGGCTTTTGAACGATCTCTGGCATATCAGTATTATTTAATATGCTAGAATCAGTGTATAGCTATACCACTTTGGAATTTGAAAGACGAGCCGACGGCAAGCGATGATAATCTTTCGTGAGTAGATTATGTTAATATCTTGATGAAACTTTTATATGATAGAGAGAAAAATATACAGAAGCCGGTTATTTATAGCTTTAAACAGCTGCGAAGAAAAATGGTAGCTAAGGATTTTAGGCTAAGTAGTTTCTTTGATTCAATCTATAATGCATCTCTTCCTGAAAATAGAAGTAGTAAATATTTAGATAAGCTAGATAAAAAATTGGCAGTTGAGTGTTATATTATTTGTAGTAACCAAAATGCTAAACTAACAGCATTTAAAAAAGACATTTCACTTTTTGTAGATTTGATAGGGGTTTTTACAGAGGCTATCGATGCCTTATCACATGCTGGTATAACGATTTCACGAAGGCATCTTGATAGAGAGAAAACAGCTATCGCTGATAATCATTCGCATAAGGTTACTTCATATCTGGAGAATAAAAAAACTAGTGTCTTAGTGCTTAACGTCGATGATTATCACAATATTCATACCAAATGAACCCCTGATACATGCTCAACATCAAGTACAGCACATATGACAACCTTGTTGCTAAATGGTGTTGACACGATGGCTATTCCACGAGTCACACCAAATGGTATATCAATTCATAATCCAAAACTAATTGATTCTGATCTTATATGTACTTTTTTTAGATTCCTATTATATGAGACGAATGGCTAAAACTTTTAATGACCAGTTGCATTACGAAATATCTTTGGACAAGAAGCTTGAAAATATGACTCTTCACAAATACGATGATTATATAAAAAAACGACAGGAAGAGCGTAAAATGAAAGATACAATTCTTTTAGACTTTTTTGAATTAAGTCTAAAAGATATGGATTCATATATTATTGCTTTAAAAGAAGTTTATAAGATTCTTTTATTAACTAATTATTTAATCAATTGTGTTATTCCAGTTGTAGCTGATTGGCCCGGGCAGGTTTTTACTCGACAAGCCATTACTCTTCGTTTACTAAATCATAAAGATGATATATATTATCTTTTATTCCAATTATCGGTATTCTTCATATTCAACTGAATTTACTCGAATCAATATTAAAGACCTACTGGGACTTTTTTAATTTGGAGTATCAATATATCTTTAGTACAACTAAAATGCTGAGTAAATCACCAAGCCCAAATCGAATATTCATTCTTTTAGAGCTAATAAGGGGCGTTTGGAAAGAAATCAAACCAATCGTAGTAGGTAAGTTTGATAATTGTTATAAAGATACTGAGTTTCTATTTTTATTTGAATTATTAGACAATACGGTACCAGTTGGGTTAGATATATATTCAACTTTATTTCGGTCTGGGGATTGGAATTTATATATCGAAGGCGTATTTCGAGCATGGTGTATTTTTTTGAGGTTTGAAAGGCATAACTATAATAAAATGCCTTTAGCATTTCTTTCAGATATATTCTATTGGAATTAGAATAATCATCTGATATTAGATGTACTAAAAGATCATTTAGTTAAGTTTACAGATTATCCTGTTGAGTATATGCACAGTAGAATATGACGTCAGACCTCACCTTGTGATACCCCGCAACAACTTTCTAAAATAGCCAAAGTTGTTAACGCCAGAAAGACCCTTAGCGGATTTGATGATGTATTCGTTGTTCAAAAAAAATCTACATATGCGGATAACGATCATTTGGCTTTATTAACGAAAAAAGTGGAGGTTTTTCTTTTTGAAACCTTTGGTAACATTTATCGAAAGCTTGGTCAAAGCTCCATCATCAAGAGTCGGAATAAAAAAATTACCTATAAGCTAGCGTCGTTAGACTTTATTGTGAACAAAAAGCAAATGCTATTAGGATTCAGCAGTAAGCATTTGCCAGCATATGACAAATGCGATCATTGTCATAAGCTATTACGCAATAGGACAGGTAAAAGCTTTATGGTTATCGCATATGGTCATGGATACCATGAGAGCTGTTTCACTATTTCATTAAATAAAAAATATCTTTATTGTGAAAATGTTCTTAAATTGGGTATACGAAATAATGTTTCATCTCTTCTTTCACGATTAAGTAAATTAGATATTAAGAAGTTAAATCTAAAGGAATTTATTGATGCCGACGATGATAGTCCATGAGATCAGAAGATATCGGATGAAGATGATATATTAGAAGTGCTTTGAAAAGATAAGCAAGCATTACCGAGAGTGGAGCAAGCTTATTCTACGGCTCTTGAAAGATTTTTTGAATATTTAGCATTAATATATTTTTTTTCAATGTAATTTGATGAATTAAATAATTTAATCAATAAAAAAAAAGTATTTATTTTTTAATGTAACACTAGACAGTTTTATTTTTTGTAAATAAATTAAATAAATTATATTTATTATATAATTATTAGATAATTTTACATGTAAAAAAAAAAAATTCGCTTGTAATCAATCGTTTGTTCATTGATACAAAAATAATAATTTAGCGAGATTCTAGTTAATTTTAAGTAATCGCTCATCTCTACATGGTGTATGTAACCATCATCCTATGTGTGATTATTCATACGCCATCTAACCACCTTGCCAAGGACTTGTCTTCATTCTTTTGAATATTATCTAATCTACTAAAAGGATCCATTTGATTCATCTCCATGTTCCATAATTCTAAGTTGAAACCCTTTAATATAGTATCAATATTTTTGTTTTTGCTTGTTCATCCTTGTTAAGAGTTACACGTTTGACATCAAGCTTCAGAAGTGTTATATTAGTTGAAATTTGCATATTTTCTATAATTCTTTTAGAATCCAATTCATCAAATACTTACACATTTGTTGTAGCGCTTGAGTTAATCCATATATTTTGAGATCGCTATACTATATAATCTGCAAACTTATTAAATATGTAAGTATAAAATAAAATAAAGTGGCATACTGTATAATAATTTAAACTTTAACCTACTTCTTTTAATATAGACCTCTCTAAATGCAATGCGACAGACCATATGTAAAAATTTAGCCAAAGGTGCACTTAAAAAGATATTGCATTTAGGGAAGTAAAAATTTATAGGCATAATATTAGTTGGGCCCAAGAGTAGATATACATTAGAGACTTTTTATAGAACGTGCACTTAGGGAGTCACATTTAGGGGTCTTACTATATATAATATTACAAAAAAAAAAAAAAAAATAACTAGTGTAATTGTTTGTGATAAGTAAAGGCATTAGTGGATCGGTAATTAGTAAGTAAAATAAACTGTGTAAGTGAAGCGAAGAGCTAAAGATACTATGTTAATATTATAAAAATTGAGCAATTTTACTGGTCGGATTGGCTCTGAGTCATCTCTGAATCAGAATTTCAGATATGGAAGGCTTGTGTAACATAGTTTGTCTACCATGCTCCCTAAAGTAATCAAAATTTACTTTTTGTTTTTATAAAAATTTGTTTTTTTAGGGTGTGGTGACTTAGTGAAGTGGTGAAGTTGTTGTATCCCCAAGTGATTGAGTACAAGTTTAATTCCCACCAAAGATGAAAAATTAAATTTGGAAAAACGGATTCGGCAACTATCATCGTGGCTAAAAAAACTCGAGACCCTGTAACTGTGGTTGTACCAATTCATCAGAACTAGAAGATTTTGGGGCCTTTGTGTAATATATAAGTTACACAAATAATCTTTGGATTGCAG